CCCTAAGTATCTATTATATTTTAACCTTTAAGACTAGGTTTTATATTGCTTCGGAACTAACGGCATTAATTCACTCAATCGAAAAATATTTTGTTAATATAATAACAATTTTTGATACAAGAATCTATTATTAAGAACTAAAAGGAATATTAATATGGGCATATAAACAAAATATCACATAAGAAAATAAAAACTGTTTAAAGAATAAAAAAAGTTACGCTTTTAAAGAATTGATGAAATACAAAACATATTTTGTAAAAAGAAACAAAAATAATAATATTATGCAATAAAAATAAGATACCTACTTTCATAATATTCACTGGGGATAAATAAAAAAAAGTAAAATAAGACTAACTAACGCAATAAATAAGAGAACAATGAACTGTAAACAAAAATAAAATAAAAACGTCTAGCAACAAATACATGGACTATAAAAATAGTATGAAATGGTTGCAAAACTTCTTTATGTAATATATCCATTGGATGTTGTATATTTCACGGAGGCAAAAGTTGTAAACGACTTTATGGACATTATCATACTTAAGCTAAAAATTAGTGATCACATTTTTTTCTTATCGTCAGTTTTTGTTAGTGAGAACACTTTAGGGCCGCATAGTTTTGTACTTTTAAAATACCACGATAGATTTTAGTTTAGATAAAATATACTATTTTAAAAGTGCAGCCAATTGGGCTATAGTATGTTCTTGAGCAAGGGCAGCCAATTCCTTAACCCACTCGTCTAAGAGCACAGCACATAAGGCAACGTGTTGCGCATGAGTAAATTTTGCGATATGATAACTTACACTACTTTCTCCCGTTGTTATTAAAGGTATGTTACTGTCTATTTGGCTCGGTCGTCTTGCAAACATATTTGAAATAGATGAAAATGATGACGTAAAGCTTCTTCTTTTAGAGCCATTTCTTCGAAAAGGTTCTTCAATTTCAATGCTTGGTGAAGATGAAATGTTTCTCTCCACTGCATTTCTACGTGCATTTATCAGTCTAGTTTCCCTTTCCAGTAAGAATTCCTTTGCTTGACGTATAAGACTTGTACTGTCAGGTTGTAGGCCCATAAATTCGTCAATTTGTAATTTTAAAATTCCTATTATCTAAAATAGAAAAAAACAAACATTTATAGACTGTTGGGGTCAGTGTAGATTTCTTTCTGGTCCATGGAATTATTCTCTTTCAAGTTTCAACCAAGTTAACACTGATGATGTAAACAAGAAAAGGCGAAACGATTGGCAGAGAAAAATTCAATGGACTACAGTGCAGCAGCACCAAAGCATATCTAGTTAAGTAGAGCTGATAACTCAACAAATACCTACCTGAAACAAAGAAGGAATATTTGGCTGAAGAACTAAACTATGATCCAATAAATATGACCTAAGTAACGGTTGTGAATAAACTGCTAGCCTTGAAATCAAGCCAGTTAGATGGAGATTTATATATAGCGAATTTGATAAAAAACATTTGAGTTTTTCCAAAACGGCAGTTAAAAAAGGCCCCGCGCCACATGTAGAGTTTAAATTTTCATTATCATTAGTCAAAGTTACACTCATGCTTTGTTGTTTTATTTGATTGTTTAAATTTGACTGTGAAATTTGCCAAATCGGTAGATCGCAACTGGTTTCGTCAATATTTTCATCTAGTTTTGCTTTTAAACTTTCATAACCACTACTTTCTCCCAATGAAGGCAAACTATTCACATTATCTTCTAAAAAAAATATATGTACATATAACATTAAACATATATCAATCTTTTAATGATAATACCTGAAAAATTTGTTTCAGAAAGTGGGACTTCATAACCATTATAAGAATTACTCCAGTTAGAACATCCTATTTGACACGAAGTAATTTTACTTCTTGCATCACATAAGTAAGCATGATAATTTCCATACAGAGTTTGATGACCACCAAAGTAATTCCAGAAAATAGGTTTTTCATCAATTCTTGGTAACTGTTCTATATTAATACAATTTGGTGCTAAAGCTAAAAATTTCTCAAAACTGTGACAATGGGGATCTAACAGCAACATTTTCTGTCTGTGGGAGAGTATGAGATGTAGTGATGGCAATAAATGCTGAAAAACCAGCTCCAACATTAAATCTTCACAGTTTAAATCAACTATAGTTTCAAATAAGGATATTGTAACCAGGCTAATTTGGTTTTCAGAATTTATTCTTTTAATAAGTATGTCTAACATTTTCTGACCATCATATGGTACTTGCAATAAAAACTGCAATAACGAATAAAGTAAACCGGGGCTGGTTACAGTTCTCAAAATAAGTTCCAAATAGGCTGTTGCAGCAATTTGTTCGGCAGGATCTGTTTGTAGAAGGGCAGGACCAAGAACAGGTATTAAAAAACCTCTATGAAGAAACTCTTGCATTTGTTTTTGTATGGATGGATGAGAAACTTGAGCAACAGCATTGCTAAATTCCAAAGATGTTATAAATGTACAAAGGTTTTTTATATCTTTTACATCATCTGGTGTTAAACGATGCCAATCAGGGGAAACTATATCACTTAGTACATTTGGTAAAATAGTGTAGAGACCACTTAATCCTGTTGCAAGAAGGACACATATATTTACTTGTTCAGAAATATAGGAAGCTATCTGATCATTTTTCTTTGTTAAAGACATACAGAGAAGTAAAGCATCTCTTGCTTGCATTCCAGAATAGTCCTCTCGATGAAGGAAAGTAACCAAAAGATCAAAAATTATAAACCTAAACAAAATCACATTACTATAACAACTTACTAAATATTGTACTCTTACTTTGGGCGTCCCTGTTCTGTTGTAAAAAATAACTCCAACATGTCACTGTTTTGTGTTAATAAAACACAAATTTGGGATAATAAGGAAACTAAACATTTTTCAACATCTTTTGGGAAAACATTGGACTGGCAAGAATTAAGTAACCTTAGCATAGGCCTCAAAAATGTTTCATGAGCTAGTAGAAGTTGTCTCACATGACAAACTAACATTTCATAAAATTTTAGCTGTTCTAGACAGACTGCATTTGCATACCTTAAAATATACACAAAACAAAATTTTAGTGAAGGCTCACTGAAGGTATTACTGATTACAAGAATCATGTGATAAAGTATAGTTACAGTGCCAATTTTTAAGACAATTTGTTTACTTACTTTCCTGTTCTTATACCCCATTCAAATAACTGTTCTAAAATTCTTGAATCCAAAAGATAATTCAAACATTTCGAATCACTAATATTTAAATTAGCAACCATATCAGCCTTTTTTACATCATATACAAGTAAAGTAACCATTTGTTCTAAATGATTTACAACACTCAAGACATCATCTTGACTGGGTAGTTGCTAAAATTTCAATTAAACCAAGTTTTATAAATTAATGGTTACAGACAAACATAACCTTAAAAGAACGTTACTACTTTACCTGGCTTCTTTGAATTATTTTATAGGTTTGTAACCAATGTTCCTTAAAACTATCATAACAAGCTCCAGGATCACACTCCTCGTTTGTATTCAAAATATTACGAGATTGTCGATTTACACTAATAAAACTGTTATTGCGTAACCATTCCATTTTATAATTGCTTATAAACAATGGCGAATTAGTCGTCTTCGTCAAGAATTCTACATTTGTAGATATGCGAACTAATACAAATAATCTTTAGAATTTATTATTAATAAACTCATTTCACATAGGGAAAGGATTTTATTGACATAAGTTTACACACACAAACAACTCACACATACATATTTTAATAAATTATGAATATGCCTCTGTATATATAAGAATACATAGTGTACAATATAACTACCACATAAATACGTCTGCATCATATCTGCATGTTGTTTTTGTGTTTATCTATATCATTTTTATGACGATCCAATATTTAATAATGTTAATGAAAAATACTTCACAATAATATCAAATTTAATATAATAAATAATATCAATATTTTGCCTTAATTAGACCAAATTTTTAACCAGAAACCGTAAAGCGTATCATTAATTAATATGAATAATATTGACGTTCATAATTGGTAACAAATAGTTTTAAACGCTCATATATTTCATTTAGATTTGTAAATAAAGTGCAATTTTCATAAAACACAGATATTTGCATAATTGCTTTATTTGTGGAAAACTTTGAAATAAAAAACAGTGTATACCTTTACTTGCTATTTCTTATTTTTATTTCCAACATTAAAAAAAGACTTTTTTAGGGCAAATAATACAATAACGTAACTTTAATTTTTGCGTATAGTTTGGTAAAGTCGGCTTAGAAAATGGTTCAATTAATGTCCTGTAGGTGGCTCTTCGCATCGCTTTTTCGTACAGGGCGTACACTTTTTAATTCTTTTCGAGTTTGACTGTGTTTTCGTAAATTACGTCCTTACATTTTGATAAATTTAGCAATAAACGTGTAAATAGTCAGTAAATATTAATTACAAAATGTTCGGCATATTATTTAACACATAAGGTATGATTTTTCTTGTTTTACCATCAACTGATTTTCCTGATAATTTTAAACTTTAACTTTCTAACCTTTGAACTCATCTTCCCTTGATTATTAAAAAGATATAATAAACTAGAAATACAGCATTATTGATATGTTAATTGAATAACTATTTTGTATGCGTATTGCTATAAACATTGATAATTATATCAGCTAGGAACAGCTACATATATCGAAAGACGCTGTATGTATTTTATCAAAATAAGGAAAAAGATGTTAATTTATTAGTCAAAAAGATATCCATATCTAATTAAAGTACGAAAAATATCATTTCATCTTTAATTGTTTGTTTTGATTAGCGTTAAACTGGAAGCTATTATTTCAATACTTAGAGAAAATTTAGAATCTATACATTTCAAAATAGCATTCCTACATATTTATATCTTGTATGGTAAAAGCTTGTATTGGTTTTAAACAAAAAAGACAAAATATAAATAGTTTCATGAGCTTTATTACTGAACAAACTATAATATTGTTTTACCACACTGAAAGCAGAAACATAAAAATCAAATCATTTGATGATGGCACAGTGTGATGAAACAATATTACAGTATGTAGAATAATAAAGCTCTTGAAACGATTTATATTTTGTTATTTTTGTTTAAAACATATTTATAGATACTTTTTGTAGTATAATGTGTTCTATCTTGAAGGTGATCCATTATTATGGCATACAAAAAATTCTTAATAATACTTATTCTAATATACTAAGAGCATATTGAGCAAAAATTTGAAAACATAATATTTTTTTATTAATACTTTAAGATCCTCAACGGGTTAATACTTTTGGGAGATAGTTTTTTAAACTTTTTTATTTTCTGCCTGAATATTAGTAAAGTATGCTGAGCAACAATATTGTTAATCTCCAATAGATGACTCCGCGTCGTTCATTTCAGGGCCATATTTTTTTCTATTCTTTTCAACTTGGACATTGTTGCTAAAACTGTGTCTTTCTAAATTGTGTCCGTTTTAATAATTCAGCGCGTAAATAGTCCGTGAATTTTGATTAAAAAGTATTCGGAATGTTATTTGTTACATAAGGTATACTTTTTGTGATTTATCAACAATTAATTCTCCTAATATTCCAAGTTTAGCTTATTTCTAACCTTTGTTCTTAACTTCCTATATTAATATTTGATTAATATAAAGAAAAAAATGAGAAACACAACTTAGGGATAGATTAATTAATGTATTGAGTTAATAGCAGGTAAAGCAACATATTATAAGAGGCTGTTGCACGAAAATTAAAAGAATTTGTTAATTATTATATAGAGGTATTTACAGGATGATGTACGTTGCGACTAAGGAAACGTTATTTAATTGGTCAATTATTAATTAGTACTTGATAATCACACGTTGCAGAGAAGAATTACAGAGGAACATATAATATGTTAAATTATAATAAAGTCAATGTTAGTAAGAAAGTAAAAAAAATATATTTTGTTGTAACAAACCACAAACCAACGTTTCGCCTTTTGGTATAAGGGAATCTACCTTGAAAAACTCTTATACCAAAAGTTGAAAAATTGGTGTTGGTGGTTTTCCGCAATAAAATACATCTTTTTACCTTCTAGGTATCTAACTTTGATTTTATTGCAATGATATTGTGATGGAAATTATTGTATATTAAACTATTTCGAAGGATTTTTTTACAAAATTAAATAAATGACCATTTGCATGTGTTTTCTTCGAATGATGAATTATTATTTGACATGGGTAATATTTAATACAATACAAAATTAAATCAGACACAATATAAATACGTATTAAATTACACATATTTCTATCATTCATCTAATATGTTTTTTTTTGTTCCAGAATCAATGTTTTAAGTGAAAAGTGAGTGTTGTGTGGAAGTGCATATGGACATGGAGCAGCTCACACTACATGGTTTCTATTCAGGAAGATGAAGCATACTAAGGTACTGGATCAAAGGTAACTAATCATAAAGTTAAATTTGCAATTTATATAACTTAAAATTATTTTCCTTTTATAATGAATTCCTTGAAAAGAAAGTCTTTTATTATATTAAAGCCATAAATCTATTAATTCTCGTTTTTCCTCTTTTAGGTAGGTTTTAGGTATGGGACAGGACGCAGTGAAGGGAATCACCAGTTCACCAATTACCAACATATGTGAGTTAATACAATCTTTTAAACAGATATGAGTTGTTGAGGGCCTTATAAAGGCATCTACTTGTTAAATACTATAAATTACTGATGAAGAACTCAAAATGTTCTTTACACTTTTTCGAAATAAGGAAACTTTATATCAGATGAGATACTTGAAGTAATTTGAAAAAGAATGAGGTTTTAATATTCGGAAAAGTTTAAAGGAAACATTCGTTATAAAGTTGCGAATCAGCGTACGCGTGGGGAATTTTTGTGCTTGTTTGTGAAAAATACAGGTACCTGTAATTTTGCAGTGTGCTAAGTGTACTGAGTACAATCTATATTTTATTGTAATTAAAATGCAATCAGTTTTGAATAATTATATCCAACTGAGAAGTAACAATGAGTTGGATAAAATGTTATGAATTAAAAGGTCATAAAAGAGAGAAAACGAAGGATTGGGCCAGGACTAGATCCGATTAAAAACGACGGTGTGGCAATAAGTGGGATATTATAAAAGTAGAATAATGTCCATGTGCTTTTTTAGTCTGCCAGAATACTTTCGGTGACATTTGGAAACTTTGAATACTTATTACTCATAAATTATCATTCATATCATTTATTATAGTTATCAAGGCTATTGTTCAAGCGGTTTTAAAATTGCCGTAGTTACTGTCGTTGCTACAAAGTGTCGTGGAGTCGCTAGTGGTTAGTGTTGTTGACTAAACCGGTGTGTGACTGTGAAAGGCAAGAAAGAAAAAATTGTGTTAAAGCGGTTTGTAAAATCGTTTAATTTAAAAATGGCTAAGTATAAGATTATTATGGTAAGACATGGAGAATCAGAATGGAACGAGAAGAATTTGTTTTGTGGATGGTACGACGCCAATTTAAGTTCAAAAGGTACGATTTGTGTGTGACCTGAACGACCTCTACTTATTATATAGGGGGCAAAATTAAATTATGTATCAATTAAACGCTTATTTTGGAAGTTAGTAAATGAAACCGACTGTAATAATTCTATGAGATCATATTAAATAATTTTTAAAGGAACTCAGGAAGCGGTTAGTGCTGGAAAAGCATTGAAAGATGCTGGGGTTAAACTGGATCTAGCATTTACATCTGTGTTAACTCGAGCTCAAAAGACATTGGAACTGATTTTAAAGGAAATTGGTCAAGAAAGCATTCCAATTATTAAAACTTGGCGTCTTAATGAGAGACATTATGGTGGCCTAACTGGCTTAAATAAAGCCGAAACTGCTGCTAAGTATGGTGAAGAGCAGGTTGCAATTTGGCGTAGAAGTTTTGATGTACCTCCTCCTCCAATGGAACCAGATCACCCGTACTATGATGTTATTGTGAAAGATGAGCGTTACAAAGATGGACCTGCACCAGGAGAGTTTCCAAAATTTGAGTCACTCAAGCTTACTATTGAGCGCACATTACCTTTTTGGAACAATAATATTGTTCCTGAAATTAAGGCTGGAAAGTCAATTTTAATTGCTGCTCATGGTAATAGCTTAAGAGGAATAGTTAAGCATCTTGATCGTAAGTAAATAATAAATTATAAATATATAGTTTTAACATGCTGTAGCATGATACTTGAATAATGTATTTAATTATAAATTTTAGAATTGTCTGATGAGCAAATAATGAAATTAAATTTGCCAACTGGTATTCCATTTGTTTATACATTAGATGAAAATTTAAAACCTGTTGAAAATGGCAGTCTTCAGTTCTTGGGAGATCCTGAAACTGTTAAAAAGGCAATGGAAGCTGTGGCAGCTCAGGGTAAAGCAAAATAATGACATTACTTAGTATGTTTCCTTTTTAAACACCTACCATATATTACATATTACTGATGAAACTGAAAAAATGCCACATAGATAGTAAAACAAAGCAAAATTAAAATGTGGTTGAAGTATTTTGTTCATTGTGAAAATATTTATTACCTATGTATATGTTGTATGTAAATAAATAAACTAAACCATTTAGTACCGTTATTTTCTTTATTCACAAGTGTTTATGATACAGTCCAAAATTGACAGGTTTGATTTGCTTGTATTTAATTTTAACACATTTATCGTCACTAAAAGTGACTTAAATACTGAAGATTATAGTTTATATTGTTTACTTATTATTTAATGTTATTCTTAAACATTCCTTATTAGTTTAGAAATTAGGTAGTCCTACTTTTAGTTCGAATTCGGCAATAAAAACGTTTTATAAATAATTGACCATTCTTCTATATATATATATATGTATAAGAGCTCTACATCCATCTATAACAACGTTTTATTAAATTATATATCTGATATATTATGTATATACATATATACACTATCAGCTATAAAATTGTGTACAAAATATTGCAATATTACAAGCCATTAACTTTGGTTTTTAGTAAATGGCAATGACCTCATTTCAAATAAAAAATACAGAGTAGTTCAGACTAAAACATAATTATTTATAATTACATTAATCTTAATTTTAAATAGAGAACGCTCTGTATTAATAATAATAAAAATATCAAAAAAGAGCTTTAATGAACTACTTTGTATTTTTTAAAATAGATAGCATTTAGTCACTTCGAATATCTAGTATTTTCTGTAGACCTTCACCATTTAAATTGATAAATATTATAAGTAGTGCATTTAAAATAAAATTGAGCAATTTATACTAAATATAACGATGACTGATCTTAACAACAGTTTATACAACATTAACAATTAAATATCTACAAAATAATTTAAGTTATTGTCTGGCACTCAGTTTATATATTACAATAGTATATATACTTTCAGTAATACTGTTTGTAAATTTACCTTAACTTAAATTTGTCTGAACACAATAATTCATTTTGTACAAAAAAAAAAGATCAAAACTACATGTAGCATTAATTAACTGTAAAAATTATCACGTTGCTGGTATAAAGGTAATGGAGTTTCTGGAGAATAATCTTCTTCCTCTTCAGAATTGTATTTTTCTCTTTCCAGGGGCAAAGACGCAAGAGCTTTCGCTACAAATAAATTCATAAAAATGTAATTAAATGAGAGTAATAATTTCGAAAAAAAAAAAGAAAAAATCGGCATGCATCAAGCAAAAATAATAAGGTAAATTAAATAAAAATAAACACACCTTAACTAAAAATGAAACAGCAGGCAGGTTATTCATTCTTCAGCAGTATTGCTTGAACCTACAAAATCAAACACTAGTTGCAACAAACAGCGGTTCAAGATTTTAATAAATCAAATAAAACCAAAATATAAAACGAAAACGTAATTTGCATATCTCATGTAATTACCTGCAACAATTTTGCTCATTTCCATTACTTGTTTAGCTAATATTTGGTTTAGTTGTAAGAGGTGTTCTCTTTGCTTTTTTTCTTCTATCATTTTCGACGTTGCCTTGTTCGTTATGTTATTGGATGAGTTTCCAGAGTATGATGTACTCTCTATAAAATAAAATACATGCATGCTCGCATATTAATTAAAATTAACAGTTGAAATTCTGAATTACCTGATGCCAAATTGGCAGAACTTCCGCTAATCACTGTAGTATCAGAGAGCATTTTCTTGATAGATTCTACTTTTCTTAATCTGTGTTGTTGTTCTTCGAATGATAATTGAGGAAGTTGCTCAGGAATATATCTTTCAGGTATAAAAATTTTGTTTGGCGTTCCGAGAATGTTATCTATAGTGTTTTCATTATACTTAAGTTCTTTGTTACTTAGCGTCGACCTTACTACATCAGGAGTATCTATACGCTGCCTTAAAGCTCTTTCCATGTCTAAATCATCCCTAGCCCGTCTACTATTTAAGTCCAGTTTGTCGAATGCTTTATCGTCGGTGGGAAGTTGATTTAGGCTTTTCATTATTAAATCATTATTAGGAGCTGTATAATGTCTCCTTTTTTCTTTTGGGACCGCTCGTCTGTTTTTATTTTTTGGGGTCTCTTGCGACATTTCAATAATAATCTGACGTGCTGCTTCACTTTTAAATATGGGAGACAACTCGTGGGGATTGCGGGTTAACGGTAAAGTTTGGGTATCCGTATAGCTTTCGTGCAAACTGGGATTGGATAGCGAATTTTGCCTCGATAGCAGTTCTTGTTCAGAAGAGCCTAGATTTATTGCGCTTTTTGTTTTTTGAACAGGTGCTGGTTTGAACAAACTTGAACAGGAAGAATCGTCCTCTTCCAGAACAGTATCCCATTTTCCGTTGACCGTTGTCTTTTCACGATCTCTCTGCCTGCGTTCAGATTCTCTTTTGACAATCCTTACCGTTTTTATCTCCTGCTTTTCATGAGGAATAATGTTAGAACTTAAGGTAGTGTCGTCACTAGCGGAATCGCTCGATTTTAAACCCCGCTGATAATCTTCAAAGTCCACGTTTTGTGTTCCTTCTGAACTTGAATGGAGAGTTGACACCGGTAATGTTTCATTGGACGACTCCCATAAATCGCCATGATCTACAGAGTGCATCGTATCTAGGTCTGTTTCTCGCCATAACGAATGAATTTTCTTTTTCTGGTTGTGAATATTTTGAACGGGTGTTGTTGCCGAAGACCTTAACTGCTGAAGATTGCTAGAACGATCTGTTAACTGCCTGACTTGCATACTCAGTTCTTGTCTTTGTCTTTGAAAATCTCCCGTTTTTTGCTGGACTCTATGTAAATCTGATTCTAACATGGCACTTGTTCCTAAAGCACATGGTAGACTGTCACCTATAATAATAATCCGTATTATTTTCATTTATGTACCTATATAAAAATAAAACTGATCGTGTACTTACCGGCATTTGAAATCTGTGGCGAACTTCTTTGTGGTCTGCTGTTTTGCAGTTTTTGTTTTAAAACTAGTAACTCTTGCTCTAAAGTAGCGTTTCCCGCTACTGTCTCTTCCAGTTTCTTAGAATTTTGAGCAAGCATGGCATGGACTCTACATAACTCATTTTCTAACATCATTTGTTCTTTTCTGACCTGTTGGATTTTAGCAGGATCGTTAAATCCCTTGGTCAATTTATTTCGAAGACCCCCTAAAGCTCGTTCTATTTCTTCTTTGTCATGTTGCAGTCCTTGCAGTGTTTCTGATTCTTCTTGAATTAGTTTATCTAGTTGATAAAGCTGTTGTACTTTTGCTTGAAGTTCGGAGTGGTCAGGTACCAAGCGGTTCCAATCTCTCCTTTCTTCCGCTAAAAGTCTTCGTTCTTGAATCTGTTGATTAAATTCGAGCCTATCTTTGAGCTGAGCGTAATTAATGCGATCTTTAGGGAATCGATACAGGGATCCCAATTTTACCATATTATCAACCAAGTTTACCAAAGGTTTGCTCTTTTCATACTAAAAAATTCGATCTTAAATAATATGCTTTTCTTTACGTATTTAATATAAATAACGTACTTGTTTTTCTAATTCTAGTAAATGTTGCTTGATTTGCTCTAATTTCTGAAGATTTTCCAAGCGCTTTGCAGCATCTATTTTCGGGATTTTTTTCTGTAAAGATCACTTATGTGAGAATATTTTCAGTTTTGGATGGAAAACAAGTTTTATATTTATGTACATTGTATACGTTACTTATATAATTTATAGGAAGAATAATAAAGTTTTTGTCGTTATAACTTAATTAAATAGGTTCGTTTAAAAACTATTCGACGATATGAAGAAATAAAGGTAGACAGTTGTTAAAGTAGAAATTATAGGTTTATAAAACCTGCACCCCACAGATTATTATTAGTTGTATTAGTCACCAGAACATGAATTCTGTTTTTCGAATCCTGACCTGTATATTATCAATTTCATTATAGCACGCCTCGATGGTATTAAACGTATTTGAGTTTTGCCTGCGCAATTGGATCAGTAGTAAAACCAGCTCTTCGTGCGTTCTACCAAGTAATTCCCCTGCTGATACATTAATTTTTTCCTCATTCTGCGAATGATTAGTCTATTGAAATGACATTATTTCTAAACAAATAGTAATCATACAAAAGCAACGCAATGACTCATGTTTCCTTTTATCAGTTGAAGGATCATGAGGCAGTGCAAAGCTTTAATTTTATTTTAACATGAATTAAAACAGTAAAAATCAACTATCAATGTGCGCGTGTTTGTTTTTGTACTTACCCTTCTCATACTGCTGTTTTGAGAAGTGTTTGAATTCATATCGTGATTGTGCATTTGGGGTGTATATATTCCTTGATGAGAAGGGTCTGTCCTAAAATTTTTAGGATTAAAACATATAAAATCAATTTAAAAAATATTTTTTTGTATATACTTAGGAGAGTCATTTAAATTTCTATTTGAAATGGCATTAGAGTACATAGGTCTGGCATTAGGATTCCATTTTTTCTTCCCTGGTATCGCTTTTGGGAAGGTGTCTCTGGTATTAATAGATATTGAGCCAGATGCTAAAAAATTTTATACTAAAATTATCTATAATTTTAATTAGAATTAGATTATTATCAATTAATATAAAAATTATGTGTATTCTTTTGCAATATATTTATGATATCTTTCCGTATTCGTAGTGTTTAGTTTTTCGAGTAATAGCCGAACAACTCCATGTTTTTCACTCTCAGTAGTAGTCTTATCGTTCACAGATCATGCTAAGAGTGTTAAAGCAATGAAATTTCGCATGCTTCCTGTACAAAACGCCGCGTCGTCTATATTATGTACTTGTGGTAAATGATTTATTTACATGTATATCCGAAGTACATTTTATAAAAATAATATACAAATTATGGTACCTGTTGGTTGTTGGTTGGCTTGTTCAGTGATCTCGGAAACGGTACTAGTTCTTGCACCTGTTTCTGCAACCACATTATTATTTGCTAACCCTGGTGTACCCTGTTGAGATATTTGTACTTCTGCATCAGTAGGCGCGCTGGATAAAAAATCCCATTGTCTCAGTTTCTCTCTATCAATAATGAAACTACTTTCTTTACTGCTATTTTCGTTTTCGTTGCTGTACTCTTTTTTAGCATCGTCGGATTCTTGGCCTTTGTCTTGGACTGGAACGTTAAACATTGAGTCATTTACATATGTAACCATTCTACTTATTCCTCGAGGTTGTTTTCTGTTTTTCTTTTCTGTTTCTGTCAAAGCGTCTAAATCATCCAGCGATCTTGTATGTCTTTGACTTACTAATCGAAGTCTTTCGTACCATACTGAATCTTCTTCCCAAACGTAACTTCCTTCCGTTGCAGCATTCTGTTGCGTTTCTATCGTTTCTTCTTCGTCGTCTTTCGATTGCATCTCTTCTTGCATTCTAAAAGTACTGTCGTTTAACACGTTTTCTAATAAACCTTCTAAGGAGTATGATCTCCTGACGTTTGCGTCTACTTCAATTTCTTCATTGAATTTGTCAACTTTACTGCAAGGATAAATGTTACGTAACTCGGATTTAGATTGCAAACTGGAGTTTGAATCGTTCATCTTTAGACGTTTCAGTGTGTCCGATTCGTACAAATTTTTCTTGTCGATGTTACCACTCTTATCGGCTATGTTGAGAAAGTCGGCAGAAGCTGATCTAGCTTCCGCTGCAAGCTTGAACGAATTGTTGAAAAAGTTTCTGGGCGAAGACTGTCTAAAGTTTCTGCGTTGGTTGTTACATCTAATTGGATTCGTTATTCTAGAAATGTCCTTTTTACTTCCGCTGGTTGCATTTCTTTGATTGTTCAGTGTTAGAATAGACGAACTACTTCCGGTGTGAGAAGTGTTGATTGAAAGGTCTGAGTAATAATAAGGGGCTGGTTGGGTTCCTAAGGTAGTGCCGTTGGGATCGCTCTGATTGCTTTCTGGAAAGTATAACGATATTGAAACTGGCTCTTCAACGCTTAACGCGCTTTCATTTGGTGTTGAGCATGGACTATTTCGGATATATATTCTTGACATTTCGGATGGTAAGGAAGCTTGACTACTTGAATGTCCTCGAAGAGCAAATTCGTTGGGGGATAATAACGATCTACCGCTGGAATCTGATTTAAAAGTACGAATCGAAGTTTCACTAGTGACCGTATCTCTACTGTTTTCTCTAGAATGCGATGCTTGAATGATTGACGACGAATTTTGAATGTCTCTTTTCGGAGAAGGTGCTGTCAACCCTTTTAAGTTCCTTTGTCGTTCAATGCCACTAACAACTACCATATTTTCGTAATTGTGGAGATGTTGCTTTTTGCATTGTCCAAAGGTTTCGTACTGACAGCCTGGCGAAAGTCGTTCCGCGTTTTTAAAAGGATCATTATTAGATCTTGAATATAAATGCGCATTTTTTCTTTGAGAGTTTTCGTAAAATTCTTTCGACATTTCTGAAACTGGTCTTCTTTTTGTGTGTTCTGGTAGATTACTGTTTGAAGACGTGCCAGATCGAATTTCAACAGCGGAGTCGCTTGTCTGTGACAGTCTCCTCGTCGTTTTGTTTGCTTCGCCATTTAAACAATACAATGAGTTGTTATCGCCGCTTTTTGTAAGATACAAGTTGTTTTCCGCTGTATTGGCAACTTCACTTTCGCCCTTTTGCTGGCTTCCAAAATTTCTAGTAGTTGCATTAGAATATTTAAAAATGTCGATCTTCTTATCACCTCCTGTGAAATTATCGTCAGGATAATCTTCGACATTTTCTAAATCGTCAATTGGCGGAGGAGACGTAGGAATCGGCGGAGGTGACACCAATTCACTGTCGGAACTATCTTGGAATTCGGGAGCCATTCGACATGGTCCTAAATAATAAGAAGCTGGTCGGAAAGTGTCGGACAAACTGAAACGGGGATGACAAGGAGCTTCCAAAGAATCTAAGTCTTTAGATGCTTCATCATCAGCGTCGGAACTATCAGACTTGGATTTTGTTTTATTTTGTGATGCCATTAAAATATCTGGAAGCTCGCCTTTTTCTTCTTGGGTGGTACTGTTCGAAAAATAACTGCCTTTCTGATTTAATTCCATGTAAACAGGTTCTGCTTTAGTTGAAGGGAAGTAAATCATTTCATAAGGCTGCGATTCGTATGGTTCAGATAAATTGACGTTTAATTTAGACATGGAAGTGTTAATGGTATGCGTCATTTCGACATAAGGATTCTCCTCTAATTCTAAAACAGTTAATTCGCTAAAAGATTCGCTTGGTCCAAGAACGCTTTTTTTAGGAGTCATTGTCATATAATTTTCCTCAACGGTATCGCCTTTTTCGTCATCTTCGTTTTTCTCTATACCGTCAAATTGATTGTTTTTTTCAAATTCAGATAAAATACTCACTACTAAAGCATCGTTGCTTTTGATTTCTGTCATGGATGGGCTATTTTCAAATTTGTTAGAATATTCTGAACGTAAGTTAGATACTAAAGCCGTGTGGGTAAATTGCTTATTGGAAATTTTTAAAGGCTTCTCGAAAATATCGTCTGATAAAGAATTTCGGGGTGAGTTTTCGTTTTTGTCATTTTTAAGGGTACTACAAGAAGTATAGTTAGAAGTTTCGGAAGAAGTGCAAGGAGAATTTTTAAAATCGTGCGTCGTGTCATTTTTTTTGTCAAAGGGCACATCAGAGTTAGAAGAAGTGGTATACGAACTAGGTGCAGAACTGTGAGATTTGGAAATGCCGGCAAACCCTTCCGTGGTCCGTCCTGCCTGTAATTGTACGTTTTCTTTGCTGCCGTCCTCATTTTCTGACCGTGCATAAAAAATTTACAAATAAATTCTTTTATTTCTAAAGAAAATAGCCTGTTAGTAACGAAGTCGAAAGTTAAAAGTTGCCACCAGGAGTTAGTAGAAAAGTGGAAGACCCAAGCTAATCCAGGCAGGAAGGACCAGTAAATACTACCCTGTACAACCCACTAAATACTACAAAAGGCGTAGATAACCAAAGGCATAACTGTCGTTGAGAATCGATCTAATCGAAAGCATTTTTTTTTAAAGTGAATGAAGCAGAAGATGAACAACTATTAATTTTCAACAAATTCTCAATACATTATGCCATAAGAAGTTTATATTTGCAAGGAATTTTCTACACATTAATAACTCTATTGTAATAAACGTTAGAAAGCCTTACCTTCGTCATCGGATGAGTAACTGTTGTACTGAGGAAGGGTACCGAATGATTTGCCACATTCTTGGTAAGCATTGTGGTTTTTATAATAGAGATTACGATTTGAAATCCCTTTACTGGAGTTTTGACTGACTTTTCGGTTAAGCGGAGATTGAAGCATTCTCTGTTTCCATTCCAGTAGTCTTTTCATTGATTCTTCTCTCTAGAATGAACAGTTAATTAACGATTTTCATGCAATTATTAAGAAACACCAACAATTATATTACCTTTCGTTCTCCGTCTTTGTTATTCACTCTGCTTGCATAGTAAGCTCTTTCAGCAGAATTGAAATTTTGTGCGAGCCTTGCACTTGCAGATCTTGTAAATTGATCGTAGTTTTCAGACCGGGATCGCGGAGCGGGACTGATGGCTTCTCCTTCAAAGCGACTTCTCGGGCTCATTCGCATATCTATATCAAGTTCTTTAGACAACGAACTGTCACTAAGTACACTTACACTCCGAACAGTTTGAGGTTCTTTTCTCAAAAAATTATCCATAGGCTGCGTTCTGGAACGCATCAAAAAATAGGGACTTCTCGATTCTCCAGAAGGAGATTTCTGAGGCACACTGGCATATTCTGAAGGCGGAGGAGGGTATTTCGGCATTTTCGATAAATATTGTGAAGATTTTCGCATTTTCTCCGCGTACCTTTCCTCCGAATAAAAATAATTATCATTGGCTACATTTTTATTTATATCTAAGCTAGATTTAGGCCTCGGTTGTCTCATCACAATAGTGTTAGTTTCAGAATGCTTGACTTCGTATTCTAGGAAGTCAGCACTGTGAGGACGAGGAACAGTATTAGGAATCTTTCTCATTTGAGGCGGTGGCATGTATTGAAGATTATCTTTAGGGCCTTGTATAAAAATGGGCGTGTACGGTCGCTGTCCGGCCACATTCGCCGCTGGATTCAGTTTAGAACCACTATTATAAGCTACAGGACTAAGAGGCCTTTTATACATCGAATGGTCACCATAAACGTCTTCATAATCGGAACTACGCAGACTTCTGACATGGTGCAAATTCGATCTTCCGTAAGTGTCAGGCGTTCTTCTTTCCATACACTGAACCATCACGTTTTGATCTCTAATGAAGTCTGGAGAATTGAGGGGATGCTTTTGATACATTTGTGGTGGTCTAGGGCTGTATGAATAGTGTTCCATTTGTTGATTCGAATAAACGTTGATAGGCGATTTTTCTAAACTTCTCGATATGTAAATCGGCTGTGGAGGACATTGGTGACCAAGGTACTTTGATTCCACGCTGTAGCGTTCAATAATATCGGGACTGGGAGATGAACAACCATCGGTTAACCGTCTAGGTTTAGGAGGAGCATTCGCATAAAGAGGTTGAGAGTACTGACTTGATTCGTATTGACTTGGATTACTTATGTCAGTAGTATTGTCAATTGAATGCGTATGATTGGAAGTTATTCTTAATCTAGGCACTTGTCTGCCTTGAGAATTGCTAGAAGTCAAATTTTCCGGTTGTCTTTGATCTGCAGAATAACTTATTGGCTGCTGCTGCTGTTCAGATTCCCTAAAAAACAAGGAGCTATCGTTAATACTGATGTGAAACGCAAAGAGAGTTCTCTTGAGAATTACATGCAAGTTTGTAAGTTACAAGCCATCGCTAACACTTTAACCCATCGCATCATTAATTCGTGGGAATCTGCGGCAAGAATGTACGTCCTCATATTGACATGTTCGCATTTAAAAGCATGCTTTTTGTTCACTTTATCATCAGGAGTACATATAGAAACCTTATACGAAGGAAGAAGAATGGATCCTAGCAATTTCTCTTCTTCTGGACCTATTAAATTAAACTAATAAAATCACCGGACTTCGAGGGCAAGAAAAAGGAAACTTTGGGGGCATACCTTTGTAATAAAAGAGACAATACTCTGACAAGACAAACCATCGTTTCTTCCAAAGCATCCATCCTTCTGACCCTTGTTTATGAAGCCACCCCTGCATAGTGACGGGGGCTTCAATCGGTCTTTTGGCGGAAGGAGATCTCAACTGTTGCTGAGAGTTCCCTCCACTAGACTTCTTTTTTTCAATTTCCTTCGATTGTTTCGTCGTTGACGCGGCTGGTTTCGTAACATTTTGCTCCCCTTTGAGTTGATGAGTGGTGTGATAATGCGTAGGAGCCTGATGGGGGACCCATATTTGGGAATTTTGTTGATTCAGATTATTTTTGATTTGAGGAGGGGATTGGCCTTGACTCGTTTGCTGTTTCTGAATATGCTCGTGGGGATGTTGAGTCTGATATTGATGATACAATTGATTTTGGTAAACATTAGTGTTTTGAACTTGGCGAAACGGCTGCTGCGGATGTTGATGGGCTGCACTGGGTTGGTAAGGAACCTGCGGTTGGTGGAGATGCTGATGTATATGAAAATTTCGTTGGGGAGGTTGTTGCTGCTTGATAGTTTGGTTTAACTGAGTGTGTTGGTGGTTAGGGACTTTTAAACCGTACTGTAGTAACCTCAGTGGTTGTGGGGCACTACTTTGCTGAAGTGCATGCTTTTGAATCGTTTCATTAGATATAGATTCGTTGCCTTGTACCGTTCCTGAGTTAGCGTATGTGCTTTTCTTACTTTCCATGCTAGTAGGGTCCAACCTGAAAATCAGTAGTTATTGATTATACGTATTTTTAATGATTTGAAACTATCAGAGATGTGCAAAAAGTATTTAAATACAAAATGCAAATGCTTTTTTGATTTGTTATTTCAAATGTAAAATACTAAATAATTTCCCTTTTGTATTTTAAATGCTAAAATGCAAAATACGTATTTTCAAAATAGTTTTTTCCAATAAATACTTTTTTGTAGTAGGTATCTATTTAATTTTCCACATTTACTTGAGTAGATATAAAATATTTTTTAAGAAAATCTTGCAGGCTTTTGCTTATTTTAAATATTACCAGCTGGGAAGATTGAGTATGATTTATATTTTTCTGTTTGAAGTGATTGAGATATAGTTTTTCTATATTTAAGTTATAGTTTCTTTAGTTCAAGCAACAAATAATTCTTCTATATGTTTCCTTATTTGCCTTTGTCACCCGTTTTAATTTGGAAAAAAGATACTGATGATACAAAATAGTTTTGTTTAGCTTGAAAGAAGAAGTCTCTTCTATGCTCGCGAATGGTTAATTTAGAAATTCGAAAAAGGTTGCTAAAGGTGTATGTTTGGAGCACGGCGTTGTACGGGTGTGAAACATGGACAGTGGGAGCGGTGGAAAAGAAAAGGTTAGAAGCGTTCGAAATGTGGTGTTATAGGCGGATGATGAGGATATCGTGGGTGGAAAAGGTTAGAAATGAAGAGGTATTGGAAAGAATAGGAGAACAGAGGACTCTATGGATGTCAATAAAAAATAGGCGAGATAGGTTGGTAGTACACCTTCTTAGGCATGAAGGTCTAGTCAGAGACATATTAGAGGCAGAAACAGGAGTTAGGAGGGGTAGAGGTAGACCTGGATTAGATTACTCTTCGCAAATAGTTGAGGATGTGGGCTGTTCTAGTTTTAGGGAAATGCGAAGTTTAGCTCAGGATAGGAAAGAGTGGAGGTACGTGTCCAACCAGTCTAAGGACTGATGACCTTATGATGATGATAGCTTGAAAGATCAGAGCTAAAATAGGGTTGCAAATAATTTTATTGATGTAAAATCAACATCAATCATTTTATATCAAACTATTTACAACCCCATTTTCTTTCTGATCTTTTACACATTGTAATAAGAGAAAGAAATGGAATCTATAGTTTCTTTAGCTTTGGGTCCATCTAATAAGTGAAGTTTTTCGAATCGTTTCCAAAGAATTTTGGATTATATGCATTTATTAGCACACCATCTTGTAGTTTTCAGTTTTACATAGCTGGCGTACATCAATTTAATATTGTTTTGCGGGCTGTTTTGTCGTAATTCGTAGAATTTCGCTAAAGGTACGATAAGTGATGATTTGGCAGTTGCTGATATCAATTTGGAAATTCCATGGACCATGACAATGAACCCGGAAAACAATATCGATTCAATATTTTAGATTATCCATTTCCATGAAGTTTAGAATTTTTTGGGCTCTCTTCAGTTAAAGAATTAGAAGACATTCATGGAATGTCTCGATGTCCCCTTTTTAAGCTTCTAATATCTTCAATTGCCAATGTGAGCAACTTTAATTCATCATTTTATATAATGTTTGATCAGTGATACTAGCAAAAATTTTAACGACAAAAATTTATTTTCCATTTTACAAATAGAAAATGCGTTTGGAAAAGTATTTTAAATAAAATACAAAATGCTTTTCTCGAAACAGTATTTAAATGGAAGATGAAAATAGGTATTTTTTATTTTGTATTTGCATTTTAAATACAAGTATTTATTATTAATTGTTTATACGATATGTAACGCTAATGTATGATACTTTACATATTCCGTATTTTAGTACTGTAACAGCAACACAAAACGGAAAAACGTTATTTAGAAAACCAATTAAGCTAAACTATATAATAAGAGAAAACGTTCCGTTTAAATCTGTTATTTGATAGGTATATACATAAGTATCTGAAGAAAATACTGTTACCTATATCATTATAGATTTTATTTATAAAGTNCTGTAACAGCAACACAAAACGGAAAAACGTTATTTAGAAAACCAATTAAGCTAAACTATATAATAAGAGAAAACGTTCCGTTTAAATCTGTTATTTGATAGGTATATACATAAGTATCTGAAGAAAATACTGTTACCTATATCATTATAGATTTTATTTATAAAGTTAGCGATACTTTCTCTTTGTGCCTTTTTTAATGAAGGCATATAATAGTAATTACCCAAATGAAATAAAAAATTAAACTATAAGCATACATTAAAGTAAAAGTTAACATTTTTATTGTATTTCGGTTGTAAAAAAGTTTGTCTAATGACGTAACTTGCAAGTGGAATGAAAAGGAGTTTGATCGCCAAATTTTAAATAAAAACTAACGCACCTATATGCAAAAACATTTTTAATGATCTTGATCGATTTATTCGATTGTAACAGCGCTAATGTTAATGCAAAAAGTGATAAAACATATAGGTCATTTAAAAGAGAGAAGCAGGTGTCAAAAAGAGAATAAATAGGCTAATGCTTACTGCGTGCCGTGGACAATAAAATTCAGGTTGTAAAACGTTTATAACGGGCACTTAGAAAAACATAAACAAAAGGAAATTGAAATGCATTTTGAGAATGTAGCTGAACGGATGTGTACGAATAGGTGTATATTATATATATTTACCAGTCCCACAGATGCCACAAACAACTAAACATTTTCGCGTTAATTTTTAGACGACCTTAATTTACTGCCATCTTAAAAATATTTCAAGTTTGCACTAGTTTACCATGTGCGGTAACGAAAATAAAACGATCTATAATTAAACCGGCAAGTATTTTGAATTTTATACATTGATGTAGGTCAAAATGAGGCTGTGTGCTTGTCATATAGAAAAGAATAATATTTATTAATCGGCACACGAACTGGATGGACAATACACACAAGAAATTGACCTTATTAAGCACTGTTTAAATTCACGAAGCACTTGAATTTACCACTAGGTACAAACATTGACTTGGATGCGAGATATTCATTTTTCTGGGTCAGAATTTCCCTACACCATTGTTACTACGCCGTTCCGGATGCTCAACGCCGGCGCTATGTTCGTTTCCTTAGGGATGAAACTACCCTAACGCGAATAGGGGGTGGCGGATAAGGACAGACATACGTAGACGCTTCTATTGACAAACAGAGCCACGAAATGCGGATATAAAACCTTCCTTAGTTCGTTTCTAGTCCTTCTTGTTTCTTTATCGCCACATGCCATTGCTGGTATTAAAATCACATATTATTAACATTCTCGATACTGTACCAGTTTAAAATTGAGTTTGTACATTATCTGCAACGTACCGGCAAAGTTTGGCCTTTAATTTTTAATTTGTTGAGGAATAATTACGCTCAATGGAAGGCGCCTGCTTTTAGAAAGTTGTAATTTTCTCTTATTAGGGATGAACAAGGCGTACTTCATCGTTTATTAAACGATGTGAATTTAAAACAAGCTTTTGTCCTTTAAAATCAATAAGATGTCGAAAACGACGCTATCGATTTAAGATTAAGGTACATTTTAAGAGACATGTATGAGTTGAGGATTTATAGCTAGTTTACTTTGTTTTTATTTGCTGTCCGTAGGTACAAATAAAAAGCCCCCCCCCTCTATCAAGTGGAGGAGGCAAATTAGGTAATTTAGGGGGCTTATCTAAAAAAAATTACATATTATTATAAAGATGTTAATAGTTAAAACATTCTTATAAAAATTCTGTCGCGGTAATAGAGAGAAAATATGTTTCAACATGTTTCGTGGGGCCCTAAGTGCCTTTATGTTATCTGCTCCGTATGTAAGTATATAGGTACCGGTTAGAGTTTCTACGTAATTTTATTAATTACTGCAAGTGGTGTAGGTATGTTATTCTGATTAAAATTCTTCGGTCCTTCTACACAGAATATTCAAAGATTGCACTTAATTGAATGATAGTTTCGATGCCATTCAAACGGCAATTATACGTTTAGTTATACAGTTAAATTAACGGAGAACTTAAATGCCTTGTATAGTATGGCAGAATGTATTAAAAGTTTTACCGTTAGTCCTCTAGATGGCAAAATGCCGATTTAATGACACTTTGTAGTCGATACCTATGTCTAATAACAATAACATTGAAAAAAGACTTCATTCATTCATAACACTATAAATATAGAACAGGAAATTTCTTCACTGTGCGGTATGTACAAACTTCAACAATTTTTATTCGAAAACAAATTGGAACTTAGGCGTTTGAATATCCAGATATTTGAATTATGGATGTTCCATTCAAATAATTCGAATCGATACATTGCCGAGCCCTAATAAAAAGTAGAAAGTGTATGCAGAAAGCAAGGAGATGAGCCTAATAAAGAGCAGGTTTCGCAGTACCAGTACAAAGTAATTTCCCATCAACAGTCCCAATATTAATGAGAAATTACAATGTCGAGTCCGTCGAAATGTTAACACAAAACATTTAGCGTGCAGGCGTGTTAATACGTGTCTCGTACAAACGCCTTGCATTTTTATGAGCAATGTAGGTACTTATTAGTTGTGAAACTGACACAGTTTTACAATTCATTTCGATAAAAAATGAACCTGTAAAAGGAATATAACTGAAACGGCATCAACTGATTAACTGGAAAAATTGCTTTTAATTAATTTATTTATTGAACTAGAACTTCTTTGATAGTTCATGAATTAGAAATCGATTTATACCTATAAAAGTTAACGCGTATGTTAGATTTCACGTACCTACGATTATTATTGTTACAAAAATTAACGGATTTTTTTCAACGTAAATTTCATTACACTGTGCGATCGCGTAAAAACCAAATTGGATATAAGCACATAAATACTTTTATGGATTCATAATACTTGTCTATTTGTCTATACATAAATATAAAAATAGATATCTAGATATTAAAAAGTATGATTATTGTGGTGGTAATAATAATTATAAACTAATTTTAAATCGGTACCTACTGTAAGAAAACTATTTGTATATATCTACATGCATGTACCTAGGTACTACATTTTCAAAACAAAATTTATTATTAACATCTGTAGAACTTTGGGTTGTTTCTTTTATGAATAACAAATCAAAAAGTAATTTACAAAGAAGAGATTTAAATATTAATTAAGCATTTTAGAGAAGTGGCTAATTATAAATATGCTAATTGTAAGTGAGATATGTAATAGCGTTCGTAATTAAACCCAGTCAGTCACTAATAGTAAGTTCAAGTACTTACGAATAAAATTGGTTACAGTAAATGATAGGGTACTTAAAGATGAAAAAATTATTACCTATAGTATATTATCTTTACATCATTTTATAGTGTGTATTTATATAAGTTAATGCTGTTTATACATTTTTTGGCTGTTTATGTAAATACGTACATAGTTTTAAATTGATGATTTTACAAAACAACACGCATTTCGAACGTTTATTTATATAACAATAACTTACGTCGTTTGATTTTCATCAATTGATACAATAAACAAAAGGTAGTGTTTATGGTTTTAACTTGTTACTTTGGCAATAACAAAATAAAAACATGTAAAAACACATGTATTGCATATCAATTTATTGTAGATAAACGATAGATTAGTGAATTATTATATAAGCAAGCGTTTGTTATTAAGTATAGTTTGATTTTTAACGCCGTTTAGAATTGTATTTGAATGGAATGAGATGCGTTAGGGTATTATTTAAACGAAATTGGCGTTTTTAAGAGAACATGCTGGTTTTGAAACACCATATCGAAGTCGAATACCGCTATAACAGAAATTCTATGTACCTAAACGTGTGTAGAAACTGAGGAATGCGGTATAGGTAACCGAAAAAGTAAGATATTAAATCTTATAAGGTTGTTATATTGAACTTACTCGTGCGTTGAAACGGACATGCGTTTAAGGCACAAAACATAAGGCAACTTAAAACTTACGTTATTTTTATTTGAATTAGTTTTACTTACATCCCCTTGGTGCTCATGCTCGCTTCTATGCATCAAGATGGTCTTGAGTTTGCACACTACACGCTATCAGAACATCTTAAATAATACACACTGTACAATTATAAACAACCTTGAAATAACAACGATACAGTCACATAAGGCTTAAGTAATGTTTTCTAAGCACCATTTTAAATGGCACTTTAATCCAACGAACACCATTCGAAATTTGTTCTTTTCACTTAATGCCGAACCCAAAAATCACAAACCCATTCTTACTTAGCAGATTGTTAGTTAGGGTACCCAAAAGAGTAGTGGAAGAGGGGGACAGGTAGTTATCTGTACACGCACTGGTCTCCCTCTATCCCCCCTATTCAAACACCTGTCTTACTGGACGAACAGATAAACACAGTGACGTACTTTGTTATTTTCTTATATTCATATTTATTTATAGGTATTTCTCTTATTTTTAAAAATATTTATTATTTTATAAAAATTCACTTTTTTGGGGTGAATTTGGTAGTTACATATGTCTACGTGATCGTGTCAGTTATTCGTCTCGCAATCAGTTGATGTTTTTCTCATTTCTAAATTTATAATATTTTCTATCAGGTACGTGCCTGGCTCCATTTGGGCACATAATTTTATTGTAAGCGTAGATTGGCGTACCTACATGGATTAATATTCGTACGTGACGGAGGTTATGCTTGTTAATTCTACTTGTGCATATGAATTTTAATTAACTAGCATAAGAATAGCCTAATTTTATTTAGCTTGTGATTAATTAACAATTTGGGTGACAAAAATTATAAGCAATCGTTATTTTATATTCTACGCGGGTGCATTTGCTTTCGAAGTATTCATAGAAGCATGTTTTCGGTTAAAAAGGGTGGAAAACCATCAAACAATGCGTGAAATTGCAGTAGTTTTATTCCTTGAATGACTAGGGTTTTGTAAAATTTCATCCAATTTTATTCGAATCTCTAATTTTGATAAATTCGAGGTGATAGTAAACAATTGGAAAGAAAGTTGACGGGTCTAAATTCGGGCGTATAGTTTGTTGCTCTTACATTAAGGGTACAAAAAAAAAGTTAAAGAGAGGCAATTAATTTATTTTCAATACGAATTTTTTATATTTATCTATCAACTAAAACTGAATAGTTACTGAAAACAAAATGTGTACTTCTATATTTCCTTGGGTCACGTTTGCGTTGGTAATAATAATCAACCACACATCAGTGGTCACCGTGGTTGTTCGAAATACCACTGTTGCATACATAAGTAAGGGACATAGGTAACACAAAGTGCTTTCTTCTATTGTTTTGTAGCAGTTACACCTTATAAATAAAGGAAAATGATTGTATTACACACAACGTACTTCCCAGAATTGTAATAAAATTACAATTCTCCACAATTTCCAAGAATTGAATTCGTTAGGATAAACAAGGTCTTTATTACTAATAGTTTTTTTTTTATTGTTGCTACACAACGTTTTCTTACTCATTGGGACCCCGCCTAATCCTTACGGAAAATTGTCCTCTGTCAAAATTTTTACAATAATATATTAAATACATCAATATTCAATACGTATAATAGGTATAAGTCCTTAAGGAAGGATGCAGTTTAAGGGACCATATCTCAAAAAAATGTTTTTTTAGGATTAACGCTCATTTAGGGCCATTTTCCGTAAGGATCTAGCTAGGTCCTTAGCAAGCTTTCCTAACTATATTTTTTTGAAGTTTATTTAATTATTCACGTTGTTTAGAAAATTATTCTGATAGATTTTTTTCATAGATGAAGAAAACAAAAGTGAAAAATAGAAAATTTATTATTAAATCCTTAAATAATAATAATTATAAAACGTTTCTATAATTTATGATGGCTTATAAGCTAATTATTTTCCATGTTTATAAAAGTCTGTGTCTCGTGTGGGATGAATGAATGATGGCGATAAAAATGCGGTAATAAATTCATAATTGATATTACAGACATCTGTGCGTGTTGCTTCTTTTTTTGTACATTTGTACTATTTTTACAATACTATTAATTCTAGGAATTAGAACATTTTATAATGCTAACAGTCTGTCAAAGCTATATGTATTGGTAAAAAATAATTATTATATGTATATAAAGCTAAGCTCGATGTACTATACACACATTTTGTAATTGTTTATGTTTTGGTTTCACGTAATAAGAGATCAGCTGAGTTATTAATTAAAAAATAAAAAGCAAATTTTTATTTGTACTGCTTAAAAAAAAAGGGGGTGGACATTGAAGGTATTATCTTGGTAACTTAAATTAGACAGTATTATCCTGTGAGGTGCTAGTCGTATACTGTGGAATTTTTATATATTTTTTTTTAGAAAAATATCCAACGAAAACGGTATCTAAATTTTAAATATTTTTAACAATAAATCAGAATAAGTCTTTTAAAACAATAACAAACGTGTTTTGGTATAATAAAATTTATTTCGCTAATCATTTTGTACCTTTTGCTTACTTTCTCTTGTCAATATGTAGATATACGTAAATCGCAATCAATTTTTTTTTAGTTGAGAAAGTAATTACATACGTAACAAGTTTTTCCTCTCTCTACACTTGGAACACATTGTTTTCTTACATATATTACGTCATGTCTTCCCTACACATCGGTTTGTGGAACACCTTGAATTAGTTGCGTCTTGCTTTTGGAAACTTTTCTTGTTGTCATTAGGGGAGTTCCCTTCCTACCTTCACTTGTAGGTTCCTTTAACGAAGCTGCACTTTCAGTCCTAAAAGAATTTGTGCTTATAGTCCTTGCAGGTCCTGTTGTCTGAACAACTCGCGGTTTATCTGTATACTCATACATTTCTGCCCCTCTGGCATTATCTACACCGCTATCTGGATCGTTTTCTTGTAGAAACAACTCGCCGTTATAATATCTATCGGACTGTCTAAAAACGGAAAGCAAAAACGTGGAGGGAAATTTCAAATTGTTTATTTCACTTCGTACCTTTTTGCATTTCTCCAAAGCATGCAGCAAACTACTACCAGAACGATTAAGAATAAACAACCGGCGGACATACTCCAAAATGCTATTTGTAATGGTTCTCGAGGTTCCCACCAAAACTGCAAAAATAATTATTATTTCTTAACTAAAAAGTTCTTAAGAATAAGATGAATTTTATTCTGGGTTCTTATATTTTAGTTAAACCCTGAAGATAATTTTTGTTTATTTTATTTAAAATTAGTGTCAAAATCAAAGTCAAGATTATGGTTTCGCCTTTTGGTGGAAGTCTTTAAGATAAACCTTCCACCAAAAGGAAAAATGAGAGTGGTGGTTTATTAAATTATTCTTTGCCTCTTTTAAGAATTTTTACCTCAGTTGTTGGAGGGTAAGTTGGCACCAAATGGCCCACTACCGTTGGAAGATACTGCGACCAAAATGCTGACTCGGTTTGACGATAATTCCATAAAATTGTTGAATTGTATGTGGTATTAATATTCAAATATTTAATTTGGCCCATTGTGGCTAACTCGAAATGTAAGCCTAATATCTGCGTGTGCGATGGATTTCTTAAATATTAAAAAAAAAAAAAATTATTATACACTTTAATCTAGATGATTCATATCTCTCTTACCCATATCTAGCAAAATCAGAGTATGCCTTCATAAAGAAATGACTCATGTTCCTATCGTTGTTAGTCCATTGATTCCTTGTGAATCTCAGTTTTGGTGGGAAAAATTCCACGTCCATAAATGGAGCACCGCAAAGTAAATAATGTTCTATGTCATGGGGTATTCTGGCCCAATGGGGAAGGTTGAAAGACTCTACGGTTGTATTGAGAACATACATGTAAACAGGGACGTCCTGTTCTATCAATAATTTTACCATTTTGTCATTTGGCGCCACGTATAGGAAGTCACTTAGCATCTGAAAAGTTGTAGAATTATTTATGGAAAAGCTACGTTTTTCACGGAGCATGTTACATTTATGTACTGATCTCTTATCAAAGTTTCGTTGTTTGGATCGGGCCAATACGTGTACATATACTTGATAGCTTCGTAGGTTCCATTTGGGTTAAGGGTGTAGTTATATCGAAGAACAAATTCCCTTATTTTTTGGTCGAAAAATTCTCGAGTTATTCGAAAATCTGGCGCCAAACTGCTATTTTCGGCTAGAACGAAAATGGGAAAATAAATATCGAATAATGATGGAGGTTACTCGCTTATTCCAGCATTGAATTTCCAATGGTAACGATAACTGTAAACTTCCAAATTTACAATTGTTTTTCTTTATTAGCTAGTAGCATTTCAAAACCAATTAGTCCGTAATTTTTGATATTATTGAACCACACAATTTTTTTTCGGATAAATTAAAAGCACTCACATACAAAATAAGCAGCTTCTTGTAGAGTAACTCCTGCCATATACTGCAATCCCCTATTGAATTGTCCCTTCCTTATTAAATTTTCCGGAAGATCCTTTATAAAATGCCAATCCTTTTCATACCATCCTTCGTAATAAGGAACGGTGACGTTCATGTCGATGACAGGACCCCATGGGAAGAAGCCTACTTGTGGTGGAAATTCGGCATTCCCTAATTCGTAAAAACTTCGACCCTGTTTCATGCAGTTCACCAGTTTCCACGATGACTCAATGCTGCAACCTAAAAGCTGCCCAAACACCCTACTTGTGTTCTGGGCCCTGTATTTATCTATTACAAATGCGGCGTCGGCTAATGCGGATCCACTCTGAAAATTAAATATTATTCATAATTTCTGTAATTACTATTATTAATATTGTAAAATAATAATTACTTGGGCTATAACTTTGGTAACAATATGTCGCGTTTGGGGTGCAACCATTAGAAGGCCTGCAGATGCTGCTCCAGCTCCTGGTCCAAAAAGTGTTATCTTATCTCTATTTCCATTAAAAAATTCTATATTATCGTAAACCCACTGTAACGCCATAGCTTGATCGAGTATGCCATAGTTCCCTGGCGAGTTGATATCCCCGGTACTTAAAAATCCTAAAACAATCAATTCGATAAATATACAAGGCGATTTAACTAGTAACAATTTATATAACCCACCCAATGCTCCCAATCGATAATTAATTGTGACGACAACGACTTCGTAAAATGTGGCAAGTATGTGACCGGGAAATAAGTTGGAAGCTCCATGCGTAAAATCTCCCCCGTGGATGTAGAACATCACTGGAAGCTTTTCGGCTACGCTTCCTATCTATAAAAGTAGTAGTTAAATTTATTTCTGAATTTTTACTTTACATTTGTCGTCTTACAGTTGGAGTGAAAATATTTAAATATAAACAGTCTTCGTCCATATCTCTGACTCCTTTCGAAGCTCCTGTGTATTTAATCGGTTGGGGGCAAGCCGGGCCGAAATCCGTCGCTTGGATAAGTTGCCATCCTTTATGTGACTTTGGTGGCTAAAATAATTGAAATCATTCATACGCCGATAATAAGAAATGAAGTTCAATAAATACCCTAAATCGACCTTCGTTAATAGGGGGCATGGCATAGGGGATTCCCAAGAAGACAATCGTTTTTCCCATTTCTCTTTCTATAGATTCAGAGCCAGGCCTGTAGAGAGAATCTGGATCTGGATTGTCGTAAAGATATACCTTGAAGCCCTGAACTTCGCCATGTCTTGTTCTGACAAATACGTCTCGTTCTTTTATTATGCTGTCTGGTCTCATTTTCCCTTGAAGGTCCTCCCTCCAACCTCCTAGCACACCAGGATATATTGGTTCTTGGTTGCCTTGCTGTTTAAAAATTTTAATTTCGAAGTGATTCATTGAAAGAACTGCCAGTGAAAAATAATTGTTGGCTATCTCTTTTGAAGAGGCCGTTAATAAACCATAAGGCTCTGTCAGGAGGGGGTTGTGGTAGAAGGCTATTGTAAACCATATGCGAAGGGGGGTTAATACTGAAGCAACATAGTTATCAACAGTGCACACTATCAGGGAGGGAAGATGTGAATAAAACTTTAATGGGCCAGTGTGGTCGGAAAATTTATTTTTGTGAATATTTCATTTCAAAAATATTAAAAATACCACGTTATTCTATGGGATAGGGACAAAGATAAAATCATGATGGAGCATGTGGGGGTAGGGGGATTAAAAAGGAATATGGTTTATGGAGATACTCTAAGAAATAAAACAACAATTCGGTTATTTGTTACTAAATATTTCAAAATAGGCAAGTTTGTTTCAGTAAAATCCAATTCAGTTCGTGATAAAGCAATAGATGTAACGCTAAAAATGATCAAAGCGTTGTAACTTTTTTGGCACATTTGGAAGACAGCATTAACTGGAAATTTTGTTACATAAAATAAAAAACGTTAAAAAGAAGCAGGTATGGTCATTATCAAGGTTGCTCTTTAAGTTTATGACACTCACCATCATATGATATTGAACTTTATAAATAAGAGGCACAATTCAACGCAAAATCTTTATTTAGAGGAGGAGTTCAACGGGCTTTTATTCTTAATTAAAATTGTGGTAAAGTTAAAATAGGACGCGCACGCTTGAACGAGTTCCTTCGAAAAAGAAATTGAAACTGAACTTCCAAGTAGTGGTTTTGACCTAAGAAAACCATTAATATTTTCTAAAATTTCTGAATTTTCATTTAAACATTACTTATTTGTTCCCAATTATAAACGCCTAATTATTTTAATAACTGTTAAAAACAAAATAACCTTAGAATGAAGGTTTAAACAAATTTAGTTATATGGTATTTAGGTACTCATTTGTTTTTACAAAATAAGTAAAAAAAATAATATAATAATAATTTCTGGAAATTAAAAAAAAATAAAAAATATAGAAAGGGTTCGTACCTGGTCGTACTTGAACCTAGGATCCTGGTTGACCCTTCTGGGGTCTCCAGGTTGTCCACGGGAGTTATAATAAGTGTTCGGTTGATACTGACTGTATCTTCTATTATTGTAGGTGAACGTCCTGTAGTCCCGATCCCCGGGTTCGGGGGGATTATACGTCTGATAAGGATTATTTTGTCCGTAATACACATCACCCTGATTGTTTTGACCGCTCGCAAACTTCACATACAATTCACAACAAACAAAAACTTTTAAAAAATCCCATACTACTTGTTTACACAAACGCGCCATTTTAGTTTACCTGTAACTTACGTCACTCAGGTGTGCCCAGCAGTTAACTTTTACCTCTAACTTTCGGTTGCTTGAATCAGCAGCAGGATTAAAGAGCCTCATGACACAAAGCCACAAGTTTGAACAGAAAAAAAAAAAAATACACACACAAAGCTCGAACGCAATCCAGATAGACGAATCATGCAGGTAATATTCGTACGTGGTTACATTATGATAAAAGCGTTTATCAAACGATATGAGTTGCCTGATAAAATGCAAAAACAACACTGGTAGGAATTGAACTAGCTAGAGCGAACACAATGCATGTAATAATGCAAGTGTGGGAGTTTCTCTTAATTACTATCGAGCTGTGGTATTTAAGAACTAATGGAATAAACTTGTCTCCCTGTTACCTTCTTCGGTATAATTAATAAAACTAGTGGATAATTAAAAGATTTCTGCTTGTATTTCTACGATTACATCGTTGCTATGGTCACACCTACTATAGGCGACATGTAATACAACCCACAATGAATCATTTAATTGAGCCCGATCATTCGTTTTAATTAAAAATAAAGAAATGAACTGTTTTAGAGAAGCACCTACCTACAGAACCATTTTTTCAGCGACATATTGGAAACTTTTTTAAAACTTTTTCTTTTATAACATGAAGTTGGTTGAACAAACTGTAAAGTATTTTAATTTGATAAATACAATTAATACATAGTTACATCATTATTAAGCTTTCACTAATTTTGAGAAAGAAATAGGTACATACTAGTAAATTTTAACAATGACCATTAAATTTGAATGATCCTGCACTATACTTATGCGCAACTTTAAAGGTTATTTGTAACACAAAAAAAAACTGATGTGGTGTTAAGAAAATAAGGAAAAACTTTTGGTTTTGTTGTACTAGTTTTTCGTATAACGTGCTATAGAAAGTAAAGAAAGTAATTAATTATAATAGGTATTACATATTTTTAATACGCGGTCTTCTTAATTGTTAGAGTTTTCCCAAACCGATTTCATTGGTTGTTGCATTATTAAGGGAAGGGGAACCATGTGTTACGGAAACTTCTTGCAGGCTCCTGAATCATGGTAGGTCGTGCTTTAGTTCAGTGATGGTTCAATTCCTGACCCTACTTACCCTCTAGGTTTCATGTAACATGTGCAATAGAGCGATTTTATAAAGACGCTTTTTATTATAAAAAAAATGTTAACTAGCTTTTGGTGTTAAAAAAAAAAAATAGTAGATAATTACCGGTTTTCGTTATTTTTTCCTGCTACCATGGCCGAGGACGTGCTACACATTTCAAATCTTCCGCAAAATTTAGATTTTCACATAGTGACTCTCTTTGAAAAGTTGGAAACTCTAAGACAAGAAAATGGTTGTAATAGAAAAAGTTTTTTGAAACTTCCGATGAAGGCGGAAATTCGTACATTAGAATTTTGGCGGTCAGTTATTTGTGAGTGCATTGCTTCTTTTTGCTGTGTCTTTATTGTATGTGGGGCGGCAGCTGGTACAGGGGTTGGTGCGTCGGCGGCAAGTATTCTTCTTGCCACTGCTCTTGCAGCTGGTTTTGCAATGACTACACTTTCACAGTGTTTTTTACACATTTCCGGTAAGTAACTACTATTTTCACCCTTTATTTAACCATTCAATTCATATAGTTCCATTTTCATATCATTTATTAAAAAATCAAATAACTGGCGCAAACAGAAGTTACGATTTTATATCTGATTAATAAAATTTCAGGTGGTCACATCAATCCTTCGGTGACAGTAGCGATGGTAGTTACCAAAAGAATAACCATTATCAGGGCTGTTATGTATGTGATAGCTCAAAGTGGTGGAGCTGTAGCAGGGGTAGCTTTTCTTTATGGGTAAGTTCTCTAAATTATCCTATTTTCAATGCAACTGCAATTAATTTGCGTTAAGATGAATATTTTTTTGGTAGAATTTTATTACTTCTGCTTGTGGTTTTTGTATTTAAATTTAAAAGTTCAATCTGCTCTTCGAAAAGTGACCGTACGAAATTCAACGAGTTATTTAAGTAATGAGTTACATCCTGCTGATGATTGAAAAAACTGAAAATTAAAAAGGACACTTGAATCGTTTAGTAAAAGTACTACGAATATGAGGAAGTCGTTCTTTAATCCTGCACAATTATTAATAACATTATACAATAAATAATTATTTGCAAATATTATGCGGGGATTTGTAAGGTAAGGTTTCAAAATCAGTCTTGGTGATGAAATATTCATTTTATTAAATGTTATGTAGTTACAAGGTACAAAACAAAGTTAGAAATTTATGCGGGGGTCGAACAGATTCAGAAATCCCTTCGAACGTGCGTCTTTCTGTTTTCGGCGGCTTTTCAAATCCTATAATTTCAGTAACAACGCGTATCAAAGAATAAGGGGGGCAACGGACTAAGAATTCTTACCTGAATCTTAATTTACCTGAACCATTTGTCGGGGGTTCTTGCAGCTGCTGTTCTGTTTGGATGCCATCCGCTCACAGTTTGAAAGCTGCAGGAAATACACAATAATAGCTGCTCCGGTTATCTGATCTTCAATAGATAGGTATATTACTACACCCTTCGAGGGCTACGGCCTTAGCGATACTCACCTATGTGTATGTGTACGAAAGCTTTGCACTTTCTTTAAAAAAAAAAAAAATTAATGAAATTTTTTCGATAAAGTTTTAGCGAATTGTAGGTAGGTATTTATTAGAAGAGGGAAGCTTTATATCAATCATTCCATGTGAATCAATTTTTAGGGCAGGGTAAATNTCACCTATGTGTATGTGTACGAAAGCTTTGCACTTTCTTTAAAAAAAAAAAAAATTAATGAAATTTTTTCGATAAAGTTTTAGCGAATTGTAGGTAGGTATTTATTAGAAGAGGGAAGCTTTATATCAATCATTCCATGTGAATCAATTTTTAGGGCAGGGTAAATACATACTTTATTGGGTTAATCGGATCAATGATAAATAATTTGATTAGCTGTGCACTTGTTCGTCGCAATCGTGGGAAAACCGTGCATAGCAGATTTCGCATATTATTCAGCAATTGATTGTGGTTGTTCGAAAGACCCCATAAAATAATCCCTTTCGCTGCACCATGAGGTGCGACAATGTATATTAATTCGGTGTACATTGGTGATATCATCCTGCCTACACCGCAAACGCCCTCCTTCCTCGTGCCAGAGGGAGTCAGCCCTAAAAATTCACTTGTCCCAAAGCTCTCCAGAGATTTGCTTATTGTTCTTTTTTTATGATACGCGAACATTTCGTGAGAGATAGTCTCTCCTGTTTATTTTTAATCCTTAACGGCAGTTTTTCTTCGATGTTCACACACTTGATTCGTAACCCGCGGAAAGACAAAATAAACGCATGTGGATGACATCTGTTGGATCGCAACTATTTTTAGACACTGGAGTTTTTTTCCTGCAGGATCGCCATACGAGAGTCCCATTTTTAAGGAAGATCTGTTCTTTCTTAAAAACAAATGAAACCACTGTAGCATCGTAAAACTTTATTAACTCAGAGCCAACTTTACCAAACCGTAATTGTAGTGATACATTATTATTCTGAAAATAAATTTCTTGAATTCTTTTTTGCCCACTACACACTTCCTCAAATTAATGAGGAAAAATTTTTTGTTGCTGTTGTCACATTATTATTCGTTTGTTTTGTGTGCACATTGATGTGTGCTACAATTTATTCAAAATTTAATAGCCAGGCTTTGAACGGGGGTGTTAATAAATAACTCGCAGCACGTGTGCCACAGCATGTCTTACCACCTGGCATTTTCCTCACCCTATTGCCTTTAAGTAGGGACAACTACTTGTTCCCAATTTCCGTTCATCATGCCTCAAGTTTTTACCTAGTAAAATATTAGTTCAGTATGGTTTTAAACATCTGCTCGTGCGCCCTCTCTTTCCTCTCAAATCCTTGCAGATTATAAAATCTCCACCGAAAACATCTGTATTGTGCTTAATTTGAAAATGTATCCATCGCTTCACACTTCATACTACGTAACAATTAATTTAAATAACGTATTAAATATGTTCATCAGCCGCATATTTGAGTAGATACTGTTTTCATCATTTGAATGGAATTTAATGAAAGAGAACTACCTACTGGCGAAACAATATTTGCAATGATTTCCTTCTTGAAATGATACTCCTTTTCATTTCTCAAGGTTTATTGGTCTTTCTGAAAGATGGAAATAGCTTCCTTTGATAAAACTCAATATCAGGTTTTAATATCAGCAGCTTATGTTTCCAAATAATTTCTTTCTAGGTATGAAATTATTACTTCGATGTCGCTAGCATATTTGCAATAACTTCTTACGGTATCTCCTTAAGAAATAGATAAGAGTCATATACGATTTCTGTTGTTGTTGTTATCCGAAAAGAATTCCAATTAATTTGCTAAAAATTTCTGAAAAGTCCTTGCGAAACATATTTGTAATTACGTTATAATTACATGTATACTTTTCTTAAATAAAAAATAATTGTTCTTGAAACTTGAGCTTTCGATAGGAGGCCCCATTAACTTTGTCCAAAATTGTAAAATTGACCAATTCAATTCAATTCAATTTACATTCACCGCAGACGTTGGTGATTATCCGTAATGGGCTTTCTATAAAAGCCGTCATAAAATTAATATGTGTATCAAATAGCGGAACATTTTCGGTCATAATCAGCTGAAATATTCTCATGTCGACAACGCTTTAAACTGTGGAGTAACAGTTGAATAATAAAGATATCACTATCGATAATAATCGGTCTACTTGATCTCCCTTGTCGTTCACCCCAAATGGTTCTCTTTGTTAAAGTGCACTTGTACAGCAAGTCACCCTTGATAAAAATTTACAGTATCAATTTTGAATTTATTTAGTCGGCTGCAATCAGAAGGGCGCTTTTTGGTTCTCACGGACACACAACTGAATGTGCGTGTGTATTTGGCCACAACAATTCAAAGAATATTTGTTAAATTAAACTCTTCGATTAAAATTCCGCTTGGGAAACAAAGTAAATAAAATTTTAAGAAACTGGTAATAGCAGATGTTCTTCGTAGACATCAAGCCCGTTGCACGCATACTGTATTTAATAATTTGCAGCTGCTGCTGAGTTGCCCTTAGAATTCGTCAATCTGCTTAAAACAGCCACCCAAGAATTAGTTTTTAATTCAAATTTAATTCGATATGGAAATACGTAACTTGGTCTATAAACACGTAGAAATTAAATTCGCTGTTAGAAATCATCCGACGCTAATTACTGTGGATACATACGGATCCATATTTGAAAAAAAAATATATTTTATTAAACTTTACAGTTAATAATTACTGCCCCTTACATTTTTTTAAGTTTATGAATAATTAATTTTTAAAAAGGGATCCCTCAGTTAGCGTTTACATATTTTGTTGGGCAGGCAGGTACTTTCGAAATTTTTGCTGCGGAGTATTCGAAATATTTCATTACCAAACGGAACAGGTGGCTCAGGACCTGTTCTCGGAACGAGAATGTGAACAAAGTAAGTTCATTTTTTAACCATTGTGTACAGTTAGCGCGTGCCGTGTTTAGGACACCCCAGGGACGTTTTCAGACCGGCTCTCCGGAGTTCCAAACTGTATTAGTTGAGTTAAACCCATTTATGTAAGGGTGCACTAACTGTAGTGGGGTCATGCTCTACTGAATTAAAGGCAATTGTTCCCTCATTAAAATCAATTATAAAAAGCAGTACTCGTTATAATGTCGCTCTCTACAGAATATTAGCTCAGCGGTTAATATGATATTTTAAGTTGCCGACCAAGCAAAATCTCTGTAACGTTGTTGTAGTGTTCCATTCTGAGAATTAAATATTTTATGTCGTATTTGTAATAATTTCTCCAATCAAGACGTTCATCAAAAACCACACACAGAAATTATATCTTCTACCTCCAATAATAACTATAATAAGCAATTTTCTCAAAATAGAAAAATAACTGTGTTAAGTGCCATTTTCACATTCATAAAAACTTACGATCAATTTGATAAACCAAAAGGGTTTTTGTACCTATAATCTACTTTGAGCAATTTTAATTATTGTTTGCATACACCACAAACAAGATTAATAAATACAGGTACTTGTCACAATAGGGCCCTGACATTTTTTTTATTTTAGAGTGACTGTTCCTGGCTATCAAGGAAACTTAAAGGCAGCAGTTCAACATACAGCATCTGCAGCAGCCTGGGAGCGTTTTGGCGTAGAACTAATCCTTACTTTTCTCATAGTATTAACATATTTAATGTCGATAGATTCTTATAATAAATACATGGGAAGTACATCTCTTACGATCGGGGCATCATATGCGGCGTGTTCATTTGTTTCCGTAAGTTTTATATTCGAACCTTAAGAATATCGTAATGCCAAATTGATTCTTCCGTTGTAGATGCCTTATTTAAATCCGGCACGAGCATTGGGACTTTCGTTTGTTTTAAGTAAATGGGAAGGTCACTGGGTCTACTGGATAGGTCCTCTACTTGGAGGTATTACCTCAGGTCTTCTCTACGAATACGTTTTCAATAAGCAGAGGACGAGTCGTCCCAAGGATTCGGCCGATGGGGATTCGTCGAGCATAAACTCAGACGAAGATACTTACGACGATTTAGACAAACCTGTTGGTACAAAATTCACTGGTTCCACTTACAATAGTTATAGACCAGCAGGAAGTAGTAACGCGGGNTCCATATTTGAAAAAAAAATATATTTTATTAAACTTTACAGTTAATAATTACTGCCCCTTACATTTTTTTAAGTTTATGAATAATTAATTTTTAAAAAGGGATCCCTCAGTTAGCGTTTACATATTTTGTTGGGCAGGCAGGTACTTTCGAAATTTTTGCTGCGGAGTATTCGAAATATTTCATTACCAAACGGAACAGGTGGCTCAGGACCTGTTCTCGGAACGAGAATGTGAACAAAGTAAGTTCATTTTTTAACCATTGTGTACAGTTAGCGCGTGCCGTGTTTAGGACACCCCAGGGACGTTTTCAGACCGGCTCTCCGGAGTTCCAAACTGTATTAGTTGAGTTAAACCCATTTATGTAAGGGTGCACTAACTGTAGTGGGGTCATGCTCTACTGAATTAAAGGCAATTGTTCCCTCATTAAAATCAATTATAAAAAGCAGTACTCGTTATAATGTCGCTCTCTACAGAATATTAGCTCAGCGGTTAATATGATATTTTAAGTTGCCGACCAAGCAAAATCTCTGTAACGTTGTTGTAGTGTTCCATTCTGAGAATTAAATATTTTATGTCGTATTTGTAATAATTTCTCCAATCAAGACGTTCATCAAAAACCACACACAGAAATTATATCTTCTACCTCCAATAATAACTATAATAAGCAATTTTCTCAAAATAGAAAAATAACTGTGTTAAGTGCCATTTTCACATTCATAAAAACTTACGATCAATTTGATAAACCAAAAGGGTTTTTGTACCTATAATCTACTTTGAGCAATTTTAATTATTGTTTGCATACACCACAAACAAGATTAATAAATACAGGTACTTGTCACAATAGGGCCCTGACATTTTTTTTATTTTAGAGTGACTGTTCCTGGCTATCAAGGAAACTTAAAGGCAGCAGTTCAACATACAGCATCTGCAGCAGCCTGGGAGCGTTTTGGCGTAGAACTAATCCTTACTTTTCTCATAGTATTAACATATTTAATGTCGATAGATTCTTATAATAAATACATGGGAAGTACATCTCTTACGATCGGGGCATCATATGCGGCGTGTTCATTTGTTTCCGTAAGTTTTATATTCGAACCTTAAGAATATCGTAATGCCAAATTGATTCTTCCGTTGTAGATGCCTTATTTAAATCCGGCACGAGCTTTGGGACTTTCGTTTGTTTTAAGTAAATGGGAAGGTCACTGGGTCTACTGGATAGGTCCTCTACTTGGAGGTATTACCTCAGGTCTTCTCTACGAATACGTTTTCAATAAGCAGAGGACGAGTCGTCCCAAGGATTCGGCCGATGGGGATTCGTCGAGCATAAACTCAGACGAAGATACTTACGACGATTTAGACAAACCTGTTGGTACAAAATTCACTGGTTCCACTTACAATAGTTATAGACCAGCAGGAAGTAGTAACGCGGGAGTTAGCTACTGCGCAAGTCTTACATCCGCAAGTCTATATGCCGCTCCTCCAACAAAATTGGAGAGGGTCGAATCACTTTATGGAGGAACAAAATCCCTTTATTGCAAATCTCCACCTCTTACAAGAGCCAACCTAAATAGATCACAATCCGTCTATACGAAATCTAACAGCGGTTCAAACAAAGATACCCTTCCTCGATCTGGACCATTAGTACCAGCTCAATCATTGTATCCGATCCGTTTAAATCAGCAGCAAAATCACGTACAGAACCAAAACGTCCAAAATCAATTGCAACAAAGATCAGAAAGTATTTACGGAATTAGAGGAAATTCTCAGCGTCCAGAGGGTGCTTATGGAACAAGTAATGGTAATAATGGCCCTTTTCAGGGAAGAAGTACTAATACTACCACCGCAACCACTGATAAGTATGAAGATACGCAAAAACCGACCAGAAATAACAGGCCCGAATCTATGTATGGAATGAGTCAGAGTAGAAGAGGGCAATCAGCGCAGTCTGATGATTCCAGTTACAGTTCATATCATGGATCAGTTTCACGTAGTAATACAGCTAACAGTACTTACAATGGGCCAACTAGCAATTTTTCTAGTAAAGGCAGTAATGGTGGAAGCAGCACTTATGGCGTGAGATCCGATATTAGGAAATCCCCGCCCACACAGTTAATCACTGCTACTCCACATAGCGCATCTTATCATCATAATAATTTGCCACAACATTCCCCTTCATCTCAATACTAATAGACTTTGTGTATAGAAAGGCACGTTAGTTACGTATTTATCATTGTGAATATATGTAAAGTTACCTATAAACGTTCTTAAACGTAATAATAAAGTAATATAAGGTTTTGACTGGTATTAATATTATATATAAAAGAAGTTATGAGTTCTGTCAGCACAGGGCAAAGTAGTATTACGTGGTTAAAATCAGCAATTTTTTATGCTGAAATGTACGATGTGTTGCATACCTATTTACAAACAATTCCTTTAAATTTTAATCGTTGATTACTATATATCTATTAAAAAATCATAATGGCCGACGTCAGTAACAATGCGAAAACAATTGAAAAAGAATGATGGCCGACAACTGCAACAATTAGAAAAAATGATGGCCGACAACTGCAACAATTAGAAAAGAATGATGGCCGACACTACGTCATAGTGAAGCAATTTCAAATAATTTTTAACACAAAGAAAGTGATTAAACAAATTGTTCACAAAAGTGAATTTCGACCACTTCGACATTTTCGAGCTCAAGGGGGGAAGAACTAGTATATTGTGTTATTTATTTTTTGCCTCTTACTTAAATTGCAAACGTATTTAATAAGAATATCACAACGTTCTCTAAGGTATTTGAAGGGATTTCTTTCAAATTAATGATAATGAAAACAATATGGTATGTGGAAATGAGACAACAAAACTAAATTGTTTCCTTATTTCCATTATGCAATTATAATATTTTCATTGCTACCTGTAAATCTGTAGTAACTGCTTAGTTTGTCGTTTATGGGTAAAAAATAGCATACTTGAACACACGCAACACCTTGTATATTCTTTAAAGATCTTCCCAGTAGATGTATCGTTTACACACCCTATGTTCTAGAAATAGTATAATGTCAAGTTAAAATATTTGTACAATAACCTCAAAATTAAACGTCAGATTTATAGTAATTATTAACAAATTTTATTTATTCGTTATTATATTAAATTTATGAAGGAGTAATAAGAAATCTCGTTATGTAAAAGTCACTATTAACCTCGGAGTTTTCATTGAAAATTTATATATTTACAATGAGTGCAAATAGTGCTAACAGTGGTGACTTAGAAACCCGAGAAGAATATATGAAGAAATTGTTATCATGGATTGAAGATGCCAAGAACTGGCAAAAAGACCAGCTACAACACCTGGAAAGAGCTAGAACTAATTCAGGAAACCCTAATGAAGTTCCTTTTTTACTAAGTACGTAAACTAAAAATTGAAGCTATTTTTAAGTAACAGCTTTTATTTTCAGATCAAGAAACACTTGATGGTTATGAGTATATTGTTCCACCACTGTGGAAAAGGGTTGTAGCAGAACTAATTGACTTTTGTTTTCTTTTTATTGTTAAAACATTTATTATATTCTCAATACTAGAAAGTTTTGATATTATGTGAGTATAGTTCAAAAGACCCAAGATACAAGGGTGTACTAATACATTTCTTTCAGATCTGCTGATGATCTGGGAATTTTTAACAAAAATTTACAAAATGCTGATATCATGTACCATATGTCCATGGAGTTTTTAATATTAGAAATACTGCATAGATTTGTGGTATTTTGTTATGAGGTAATAAAATATTCTTAATAGCAAATCCATTTAGATTATATAAAAATTTATTTACTTAAAGGAGTGTATGATTATTTGAAATACATAGTTCAATATTTTTAGACATTATGGTTGAGTTTAGGGCCAAGAGCAACACCTGGGAAAATGTTTATGGGTCTTATGGTTGTTGAGGCAACTGTTGTAGCCCCTATTGAAGGTCGTGCACATGAGACTGTAAAAGTATTTACAGGTACTCAATTAACAATTAAAGAAGCTTTAACAAGGTCTATTGTCAAAAGTCTAACTTTTGCAATACCCCTTTGCTTTGCTATACTGTTTTTCAAACACAACCGCACTGGTTATGATTTAATGTCCCATACTATTGTTGTACAGTACAATCCAAATCCCCCTCCTGCAATATTATTTTAATTTAAAGTTTTGTACATGTATATTTTACCTACTTAAATTTTATAGAGGGACCATAAAATGTATCCTCAATATATGTGATTATATGTATACTTAAATACTGTACCATACCTTTTACGTTTGGTTTTTTTTTTGTTACTTCATACTTAATTTTTTTAATAGTCATAGTATACCAAAACTATTGTAAATGTAATGTATTTTGTGATTAATAAAGACGCTATTTGTATAAATATTTATTGTGAAAAAGTTACAATAAGTATGGCTTGCACAACTTTAAACTAACTATTTTGAAAATTGGAAACATGTTCAAAAATATTTACAATATTTAAGTGCAATTTCATAAATATTTATCACAGGAAAGATTAAATTCAAGAATGAATTTATTTATAAGTAATATACAAGGTGTGCATTACAGATCGTCAAAATCGCAATGGTAACTAAATTAAAATAGTCATGGAATGTAAAAAAACCATTTAGTAATACTGTAGTAAATATTAATATTAGTAATTTAATAAAATACCAAACAGAATTTTGTTAAATTGATTAATTACTCGTGTTATCACTAATTTTGAGA